ATTTATAAGTTCTTATGAAATGGATGAGTAGGTGGATGGATGGATGGATGGATGGATGGATGGATGGATGGATGGATGGATGGATGGATGAAATATTTTTAAAGCACCAAATCTAGGAAGGGGGCATGGAATTAGAGATGGATTTAGTTTCTTGTTCATTATAATAGTTGTGACCTTGGGAAATGTCATTTAACCCCTTAGTATCTCAATTTCCTCATCTGTAAATAGATCTAATCACCACAAAGGCCTGCTGTGAGCATGAGACGAGATCAGCTTGGGAGCTCTATCGTTACCTGTAGCAGAAAGGTCTCAGTGGGATGGGGACAGAGGCTCTGCCTCTCTGCTGCTGCCTCGAACAATTTCCGTGTTTCTGTGACTCACTTCTACCTACAAAATGGATGCTGCAAGGCTCCTCTCCAGATTCCCTTAGAAGGTCGTGTGTATGGGGCCTACAGGAGGCCCTTCGATTTCAAGGCCCGGCAAACCTAACCAGCTGTACATCCGTGGTCCACATCAAGATCTCTGCCCTACAGTTCTCCCAACTCTTTACAAGGATTATGATGACTTCATGGGGTGTTTGTGAGAACCAAATGTCTTAAAGCAGGACACTGCCTGGTACATAGATAACAGCACTCAGACTATGTACAATTCTTAGAGTCAACAGTGTCCTGTGAGTTTCCAGGGGAAAGTACCGTGGGGTTACCTCTCCCTTTATTGCCTAGATTCAGTCATTTCTGAATAAGCTTAGTTGCTATGGTTACCTTCCAAAGACACCACATTTGAAAATGTGTTGGGAGATGGGGATTGATGGCAGAAGGCTTTAGCAGAGGACACAAAGCAACTTCAGCAACAGAGACATTTTAAGACATGTGAACTCTTTCCCCTGGAAACCAAAGTCACCTTTTGCCAAAATGGAAATGAACTCAGGACACAGAGTTTCAGAAGTTCTGCTTTTGGCCAGCCTCCTTCCCCCATCAACAGGACCTCAAAGACAGGTAGATCTGGCCCCGAACCAACTCCTGAGCATCTCAGTTTCCTGCCACAGGAGGATCTGGCAGTCTGAAGGGTGCTGGTTGCCAGACAGAATTCATCAGATTCACTTCCCAGATGCTATCGCTTCTGATGCCGAAAGAAAAATAGGTTGCCCAGAAATTGAGGTTGGAAAGGACGAGTGTAGCTGAGAAATGCACAGTGACACACAGAACAATAAAGGGCTATTCTTGCTAAATTCATTAGCATACATAGTTGAATATTCCAGTGGTCCTTACAGCCCTCAAATCCCATACTCAGTCCCTGGAGGGGCTAGCACGAACCTCTCAGGCTAAACTGTCCTCCACAGTAGTGTTATAAATGGTATTCGATCTGTCAAAATCAGTCATGGCTCCAACAGCGAATGAATAAGAGTTGGCCCGAGCCCGCTTCCTGTTTCCAACTACAGCAAACCCAATACCCGATGGGGCCTCATGGGCAAGACTATTGTATACTCAGTCGTACTCAAAAGACTCTTTCTTCCTGGTCACTTTTCCCCAGACATCCCAGGGAGCTGTCCTGCTCTTATTTGAAATTCAAACCAGAAGGAAGTCACCTCTAAAAATACTGCTTCCCACTTGCATTTTCATGATGACTCAGTGCCACCTAGGGGACATTTGCATTCACTTCTCGGTATTTCCAGCATAAAATTCCTTTAAAAATATTGCAGTGTCCCTCCCTGCTCCCCCCAACCACCACCTCCCTAACCCTACATGAGAAGGTACAGACGCCTCTCTGCACACACTTTTCAAGATTCAGCTCCAGACTTACTTCAGCTGAAAACCCTGGTCAATTAGCTAATTACACAGTGACCACTGCTGAGGGTTGTGGTTCACATTTACAATCACCGCAGAAATTGTGCTTTATTATTACAAGAGCTACCAATTATTAAGCATCTACTACTTAACAAGGTGTATATATTTATTTCTAATGTGCACAATAGCCCTTCAAATTGGGTATTATTATCCCCATTTTACAGATGAAGAAACCAAAGCTCCAAGATGTTGAGACTTACCCAAGATCTCAGATGAGGGCTGTCTTAGTTTCCCCAGTATAAAATCTCCCTCTTTTTATCCTATGTTGTGCCTACATAGAAGTGAAGCTGCTCATTTTGACTATAAATAAATATTGTCCTTCAAAGAAGTCACTTTAAAGTCCATACTGTCATTCCAAGGACGAATGCTCATAACACAGTTCTGAGTGTCTGTTGTGGGAACACTTCCCCAGTGCTGTGAGCAGCACAACACAATCCTTTACTTTAGATGTGCGTTATATGTTTAACAAAAATATGGTGGGGATATCATGATGTCAAGCAGTGCAATTTTTTCAGGCCCCTTCTCTGTAGATTTGGATTCAGTCTATCTGGGACAGGGCCAGGAACTTGTAATTTCATCAAGTACGCAAGGGATTCTAATCACCAGGAACTTCTAGAAATACTGGTGTGGTGTAATGATACAGATATGAGCATGGGGGTTAGAAGGGCTTAGGTTTCATATCTAGCTCTTTTTTTCTAAGTGTGCACCCCTAGAAAAGTCATTTAATGCCTCTGAGTATGTTTCCTCCCCTATGAAATAAACATTAATAATTATCAATAGCCACCAAACAGGGTTGTGGTAAGAACTGAATGAGATTTGGAGTGTGAAATGCTAGTACAGTGCCTGGCATATTGTAGGAACTTAATAGTCATTACTATTGTTACTTAATCACTCATTCAGTTCATCAGATTTACCTCGTGTGGCTTTTTACTGTTTCCACAAATTAGATGCACAGTGAAGGGATCTGAGGATCCATAAATATACTACAGTTAACATGTACTTGTCTTCCGCTTTGGGCTAAGTCATACATCAGGCTATCTTTTGACATAATAATGGGTCTTATCTTGTAAGCAACTTGAGAGGATCTCTGTCTTAACTTCTTTATAACCCCATAGTTCTGGTGTATAGTAAGCTCTCCGTGGTTATCCCTACTTGCTAAAATGCTGTTCAGGGAATCAAATGATAGAAATGATTTGTTTTCCAACTTTAAGTGAAATATATATATTTATTCTTGAAAATATGAAAAATCAAGTGTAAAGAAAATTCAGAAATCCCAATTTCTACATTTGTATCCCTTTCCTTCCTTTTTATGCACTTCTATGCACTCTTTAAACTGCATTTTTTACAAATGAAATTTGAATCCTAGTAGTGTTTGCTTTTCCATTTAATTGTTAAGTTTTCCCCATGTCATTAAGTAAATTATGGCATGTCCAGATTATATCTAATATTAAAATTATGTCTTAGAACAATGCTTCTCAAATTTTAATGAGTATACAAATCACCCGGGGTATTATTAAAATACAGCCCTGGTTCAGTAGGTCTGAGATGGGTCCCAAGATTCTGCTTTGCTAATATCCTCCAGGGTGATACTGATCCTGCTGGTCTGCGGCCCACAATGAGCAGCTAGGGCTTAGGGAGACAGTCCACTAATGACAACATTTAAAGTTTCCAGTGTGTGGCTCCTGTGTGGTGAAATACCATCAATGGAGGGATAAGCTTCCTTACACATAGTGTAAGGATAACACAAACATTTATCTAGTATACAGTATGTATGCACACAGGAGCAAAGATGGTTAAAAACCTAATTACTGGTCAATGTCAATAAATATCAATATTTTCAAGACTCTGGATGCATGTAGACAAAGGGCATTCCATAGGGAAACAGCAGATCGGTGGTTTCCAGGGAACAAAGGGGAAGGCAGAGGGAGGAAACTTTTAGGGATGGTAGATTCGTTCATTATCTTGATTGTGGTGATGTTTTTATATGTATATATACCTTGTTAAAACTTATCAAGTTATATATTTTAAATATATGCAACTATCAGTTAAACTTTAATAAAGCTTTTTTTTTTAAGGGGGGCAAAAGCCACAAAGTGCATTCCAGAAGGGTCATATCAATTTACATCCCACCGGGATACAAGGGTGCCCACCTCACCACACCTTTGTCAGCACTGTAATTCTTAAGGGAAAAAACTACTTTGAAAGGCAAAAATATCTCTTTTGAATGTGCATGCCTTTACCGGTAGACTGAAATTTTCATGCTGATCAGCAATTTGCTCATTTACCTTTTGTAATGTGTGTTGCTTATCAAATTATAGGAGCTCTTTATTTAGATATGTCATAAATATATCACCTACTTTCCCTTGACTTGTTTACCTCTGTGTGTACTTGATGTAATTATAATGTAAATTGACATTTTACATTCAAGACTCAAATAAACAAAACTAATCTTACTACTGCTCAATACATGTGTAAACAAAAAAAGCTTACTAAAGTAAAAAGATAGAACTAGACGAAAAATACCGACTTCTTCTAGTTACCTAATTTCTTTCCCAGGTTGGCAGACTTAGACTACATCAGAAGCAAGCCACATGCATAATCAATTAATACCTTTCATAGTCACTCTTTTGGTTGGTTAACACGGTAAAATAGGTGGTTTTACCTCATTTTAAAATGGAGATAGTACTAACATATGACATACTTTGTGATTTCATCAAGAGCAGTCAGACTTTGGGTTTATAAATTCCCACCTTTTGTTTATTTATTCTTAATTGTGTGAGAAATGAACCCATAGAATCAAGATGGGTTGGGTGGTTTGGGATTTTTTTTAGTCAACTGAATAAATACCAGGAGAGTATTTACATTTTCTCCTGAAGGAGTAAATCCTTATTTATATTAATAATCCTGGGAAGACATGTATTACTATTTAAACTGTTTTCTTGACTCTGACCTCGTCTCTCACAGGATTTTCTTAGACCACAAAGCAATGAAGAACGCTAATACTAGCAATACCAGTAAGAGAAAAATGCCTTTTAATCTGCCAAGCTAGTTGATACAAATTCAGGGAAACTGCTTCCCCAAAAGGTAGTTACAAGTATTCATAAATTGATCCAATCTTTTTAATGTGTCATAATTGTTAGAAGCAGATACACAATGTTTAAAGAATGAATCTTAGTTTTTTTATTAACAGTATTTTCAACTCTTGTTCTGAAGCTTATGAGGGTTAAAGCATTTGGCCACATACACGAAGCTAGATGATGTCCAGTCTGGAACCAGAATCCAGATTCCCTGAGACCCAAGCTGAAGAGCAGTAGAGGGTGAAATGAGGTGGAAGTCGAGTGGCTGAGACTCCAGGGAAGTTAACTTCCTCCTCCATAACTGAGGGAGGGGGTTACATGATTGCTAAACCTCCTTTCAGCACTAACCTTTTCTAAGTGCAAACTGGATCACTGATAAAACCTGACAGTTGCAGTCACACAGCTGGAGCACTTTTACTGGGGTTCCCCACAACTTTTCTCAGAAACCCATGTCAGCTCAGGTTCCAACTCTAGCTGACCTATCTGTGTAGTGTTGGCAAATAATTTATCCTCATAGTAGAGATAAGGAATTGAGGGACCTAAAAGAATCACAAGAGCAGCTGCACCTCAGAGAATTCATCATTAAGATATGAAGAGAGTGAATACATGTGAGTACTTAGCAGTACCTGGCATAGAGCAAGATGTCTAGTAATTGCATGTCTATATGTTTGGGTGTCTTAGTTCATCCAGGCTGCTTTAACAGAATACCATAGATTGAGTGGCTTATAAACAACACAGATTTATTTCTACAGTTCTGGAGGCTGGGAAGTCCAAGATCAAGGTTCCGGCAGATTTGGTGACTGGTGAGGACCCCTTTCCTAATTCATAAATGGTCATCTCACTGTGCCCTCACCTGGCAAAAGCAAAGAGGAAGATCTCTGAGGTCTCTTTCAAGCCAATTCATGAGGGCTCCACCCTCACGACCTAATCTTTTCCCATAGCTGCACCTCCAAATACCATAACATTGGAGGTTAGGTTTCAACCTATGAATTCTGGGGGAATATAAACATTCGGTCTTTTGCATGGGTATAAAATAATACCAACTTACATGGCACTGGTTTCACAGGTGAAACTCACTGTATCCCCAGTGAATAATAATAGGTAGACAGGTGTTCAGCAAACTTGAACAAACATTTCAACAAAAGAATGAATATAACTGAAAAATAGACCTCAAGTCTGACATACAACACAGTTCAGCTATACATATAATTTAAAAGACTTTACAAAATAGTAGGAAGGGGAAAGAGGAAAAAAAAGGAATGACGTTAATAATGGCAAGAGTTAAAGGTTGAACAACCCACAGCCTATCTGTTTTAATAAACTTGGACTCCTTGCCATCTCTGTGTTATCTCACGTTTCTCTTGGTATGGCCCACAAACCACCTCCACCTAGAATGTGACAGATGCAGATGCCCAATCCTCACCCATTTGTAACCAGCTACCTCATGCATTATTATAGTCTACAATTTGATAACCTGGTCCAACTGCTGTGTGGCCAATGCTTGAAATGTGGTCAATGCCTGACTCCCCAAGCAGCTACAGCAAGAGTATAAATATGCAGATCCAAACACAAGGACTGCCCACACCAACTTACCTGCAACCCATCACAACTAAGAAAACAGCTTTCCATTCATCAAAGCTATTGAGAAACAGTAAAACCTACAGCTCATGAATTTGTCAAATATCTGGGCACTTGAGGGAATAGTTATGATTGGAAAAATTACCCTTCTGGAATTTCCTCAGCGTTTTCTAAAATGCCAGTAAAAACACTTCTTTCATTCTTAAAATTAACTTTAACAGTGAACTAAAGTAACACTTTTTGGTATGGTGAGCAGTAAAGTGAATTCCATTGACAACTGAATTGTAGTCTTTATTAAAGTTATTTTTACAAATGCCTGTCTATCTCCTAGTATGAGAAGGCTGTTTTTTACTTTAACATGTGCTTTGAAAATTAACATCCGCAGTAGGAGGGTCTTCAGTTGAATAGATTTTAGACTTCAAAAATGTGGCTGCATCTTTCATCGCTAGCTTCTCCATCTCCCAATTGTTGACCTTACCAAAGAAAGAGGAAAACAATAGTGTGCAAGAAAATGATGACATGAAACAAAAGCTAGTCTCTAGATCCACACATATTAAAGTAACAACATCGAGCCAACTGCTTTCTAAAAACAAATGTTATCTTATAATTACTCTCATTTTAAAGGCTTTTAGTAAGACTGTGCCAGGGTTGAAGAAAGCGCTAAGCTGAAAATTATAAAAACTTTAAAGGTCGTCTAAAGGGTGCAAAAATTCCTTTCTTGGAATAATCTTCCCTTGAACATATACAATAGCCAATACGGGAAATAATCTTAAATAGTAGCCCACTAACAGAAAGGGGCCATCTTAACCTCAATATCCATGTGTGATCCATTTTTGGATACTTAAGTACCATAATGGTTAGGAATGTTTACATTACATTATGTACAGTACCAATGAGTGGCATTTAGCTAGAAACCAAGTTTAACAAAAATGTAAATTTATTCGTCCAGTTCTTGCTCCATACACCTGGAGAGGCTGTTCTAGAAAAGCCGTGGTGCTCAGAATCACAGTTAAGCATCAGAGAGATGAGGAAGAACCAGCCCTTATAACCACCCAGTTTTCTAGTGACAAACATCCTACAACAACCTCACACTGGCCCATGAAAACAGAACTTTAACAAAAAGGAGTAAAGCTGACCAAATACAGCACTTATAAAACCCCTAGTAAATGATAGCAATCACCTAAGTAGAAGCCAAATCATGCACCAGAAAGCAATAAATAAAACACTTATTTCAATACTGCTGACAATTCCTCTAGAATCCTAGCAATCAACTTCAACTACAGCATTCCTGGCAGAATGGACATCAGCAACTGAAGACTATGTCATCTGCATTTTTTCTCTTACCAAGATCACATGAAAGCCCATCACTTTCAAATGACGCATTTTCATAGCAAGGAATCCTCTGGGATGGGTTAAATCCAAACAGTAGGTAGATCTAGGAACACATAGTACAGCTACTCTGAAAATGAAAATATGCAACATGAGAACAGCTGTTAATGAGATGACCACTTACAATCTTGCTGTATTCCTGTTTGGAGATTTCAAAGTTGAGCTCTCCACTGACCACAGTCCCCACCATTCCCTACCGTCTTAGTCCTTCACTTCCTTGTTACTTGGCCTCTGTAGATATTCCAGTATATGAAGGCTACTTTAGTAACCAAAAGCTTATACCAATGATTTAGACAAAGTTATCCCTCAATCATCAGTAAGGATGGCTACATTCCTGATAAGAAAAAATTTCAAATATGAAAGCACCCGTTTTAAGGCTTTCCTAAGCAGTGCTAATCCCTGACCTAAATATAATTATTTACACTACTAACAGAAGTACTGATGTAGATAATACCAAATGGTAAGTGCTCTTCTGGTACACAGTGCCTCCCTGAGAGACAACATTTCAAAACCAACAAATACAAAGAAGAAAATACTAAAAGAAAGGCAAGACTGTTAAAAAGATAAAACCTGTATGTGTAACAAAAATGTGGAATGTGTAATTTGATTTTTTCATTGTTCCTGGCCTTTGGGGAAAAGAGAAGACATTTGTATCCCTAATGTCTTCTGTTATACTCTGGCTGTTATCTGGGATAACAGATAAGAGAAAAAATTTATATTTTTAAAGGAATGCTCAGATTCCTCAATTCTTCTCAGTACTTCAGGCTGAGAGCTACTATGTTATGCTATTAAGCCAGAACACTGGAATACTTAAGAAAGAAAAATGACCTTTCAACAAGGTCAGAGAGAAAGCCTTTGTTTGAGGGGAGATGGCAATATGCACAGGGAAGGCAGCAACTGAAAAAGATGGCCAAGGAACAAGCTAGACGGCTGCAGAAAGGGGTAAAAGGTAGAGTGAGCTGAATGTGAGTGGAGAGGGGTGAGCAGGTAAGAATTGGAGTCCTTACTGATTTTTTCTGTACCTCGCTCTACCGTACTTATGAGCGTGTCCTATAAAACAATATAGGATATAAGATCCTTGGGGCTTGGATCCATGTCTGACTCACGTCTGTGAGCCCCACAGGGCCCAGCAGAACCAGACACCCTATCTGTAGCGTGTGGGTCAAGGAGAAAATTTAGGATTAACTTTGATATGGTCTGACCCATACACAATGCAGCTTAATTAAAAAGCTAGTTTTTCTACCTTTATAAAGGTCTTGGGAGTAGAGCAAAATATTTATTGGGTATTTGATTTTTGTAGATGCCTTAATTCTTTATAATCACTTCTGCATTATCTTGTCAAAAGTTCACACTACACTGACAGTTCAATTACGTTAACACTGTTTTCTTGGACTGTTTAGCTTTAAAACTTAATTTTTAAAAATTGCCTGTTTCATTATATGGCCCAACTCCAGTCCACTGTCTTCAGCCACTGTGCCCCATCTAACACCTGAGGAGATTAGCAGTGAGAAGTCTCTCAGTGCATTATAAACTCCATACAAATATAAGGTCTTAGTACTGTCACTGCTATTTAACAGGATGTCTCTGAGAATTAAGATTTAAAATCAGAAAGATCAGCAAATGAACAGTTGTAAGCAACCTTTGGATATCTGTAGCAGAAGTTACCACATTTGCATCTGAAAGTGGAAGTACTTGACTCCTGTTAGAGTCCATTCTGATTTCGAAATCTGAAAGAAAAGAATTTGTATTAATTTTTCAAACGCTGCTCAAAGTCATTTTCTGTTTCAAAACATACCTTATTACCAATAGCGATAATGGCAGCAGCTAAAATATATTGAGCTTACCATGCACCAGACACTGGTCTGGACTTTACATGTGCAATCTCATTCATTCATCACAGGAACCCTAGGGTGGTACTATTATTATTGCCATTTTACACCTCGGGAAAGGGAGGCTGGTAAGTGCGTGAATTCACAGCACGAGTGAGGAACAGAGTGAGAATCCAAACCTGGGTGGTCCAGCTCCAGAGCCAGTGGTGCACTATACTAAAATGCCCCGGTCAACTTCTAGTCTTTTGCCAGAAAGAAAAGAAAATAAACAAAATAAAATAGATGAAAATCATATAAAGTCCCATACCAATATGATAATGATGTGGCAACTGTACATTTTCTGAGAAGTATCCCTCTCCCAGGAGGCTGCTCAGCACCTCAGCGACCTTGGCATTTGGATACAATGGTGCAGATGGAGGTGATGGTGGAGCTAAATCTATGGACTTGTGATAATTAACATCGTCAAGCTTTAGACAGGCAGCCAAAACATGAAGCCTGTGAACATTCCTCTCCTTGTTATCTAAAAGAGAGAAAATATCCACTTAAGAAAAAAATATTAATGCCACAATTAAGAAACTATATCAATGCACCTACATTTCTGATGATCTATTTCGTATCAGGAGGAATCTACGTTTCCCTAGTTCCCACAGTATCTAGGTCAATACCCTGTATTTTATAATGTTTTAAGGTTTAAAGTATCTTTCAAGGTGATTTAGTCTAAACTCTGCATTGAAGAAACAAGAAATGCCCAGGAATATTAAGACACCTCATGATTAACTACAGGCAAAGCTGACACTAGGATCCAGATCTCCTGGGTTCCAGACTGTTCCCCCATCAGATTGCTCGAAGAATTTAAACATGGTGGTCCTTCTTCTCAATTCAACTTTGTAAATTCATAACGTTGTTTTAAGAATTTAAACTCCTCTATTCTCAGACACATCAAATTTTGTACCCTTGGCCTGATATTCCTTTCCTTGTAACTATTTGGTTTCTTGATCTAACAGGCTATGCCTTCAATACAGGCCATGAGATATAAGGTGCTTATAGCTGTAAGGGTTGACTCAATTTGGCTTCAAAGGTAACACCCTTTGAAGGGTGAGGAAATATAATCACCTCAAGGCATAAAGAATATGAACCTTTGTACAGGTGCATAAAGTGTAAATAAAAGAAACGATGATGACGTTTCCCATTCTTGCGTCTATATGACCTCTGACTTCACCACGGCCCGTCCTTTCCTCCATAGCATCTGTCTGGACATTCTAACACTGTGCCAACTAAGACCCCGTTCAGAACCATACGGTAGCTAGGAGTACTGCCTTATTTCAGTCACCACGGTGCACTGGCATCCTACCTGACATCAGCAGCTCATTGATGATGTCCTTCTGGAGAAGCTGATTAATAGGAGCCAAAGGAAAATGGTTCATCATGCAAAATGAACACACAGCACTCAATAGGTTTTCAGAAGAGATGTGGTGGAGATAACCAGTCAGAGCACCGCCCATAACATCTAGGAACCTTCAGGGCAACAAAGAAAAGTCAGCTTTCAAATATAAAGAGAAGACAACCTCATGGTAGAGCTAGTGAGGTGCCAAAGAACCAATGGCTTTAAGGAGTCCAAAGATAGGAGAGGAGAAAATCAGGCTTGAAATAAGTCTTAACACATCTTTCAGGTCAGGTATCTCATGATAAATATATGTGCTCAATAAATGTTAGTTGTCATTATATCTTGCACAGGGCACATGTTTTACAGGCTTTAAACTCATTTAATTCCTAATAAAACTATAGGGTAGATATTATTATTATCCTCATAATAAAGATGAGTTGACAGGCTAAGAGAGGTTGAGTAACTTCTCCAAGAACACACAGCCAGGAAGGAGCAGAGATAGCACTGGAACCCAGGGTGTCAGGCTCCAGAGCCTTTTAACCATTATGCTAGATTTTTTATCAAGAGCATGTCCATAAGGCCTGGAACACCACTGCATTTTTATAACCTGTTAATATTCTCTAGCTATCAATACTTTGAGTTAAAAAAAGACAAACATGAAGTACATGAAAAGTACTGTGATGTGCAGAGGACAGAAAACAGACAGATAGCTTTGGCATAAGGAGAATTTCAATAAGTAGAAAAGATAGGAAAAGGGAAGATCATGTGAAACTAGGCAAAAAAATGGACACCTGAAAGTGCACATTATTTGTGCTACAGTAAGTAGTGAGGCTAATGCAGAGAAGCAATTCTTACAGCAGAGGCAAGAATGCCCTGAAGTAAGCCCTAATTAACAATGAGGCTGTAAAGGAAAGTGTTTGAGGTCAAGTGGGAGGTGCATGGGTAGGAGCAGGTGGCTGAGGAAGGGAGCGAGGGAGAGACGCAGAGGTAAGCTAAGCAGGACTGGGAGTTACAGTGGGATGGGAACAATGTAACAGGTGCTTGAGACACCAGTGAGGCAGCGCTTTTAACTGATAAGTGATTGAATTTGCAGTGTGCAGCAAGAAAGGGCAAGGCTGCAGATGACTGGAGCCTGAGTGGTAGTCACCTCTCATCCTCTCATCCCACTCCTTATGCTTCAGCAACACCAAACTACACAAGTTCCCTGCATGGGCTCTGCTGCTGCTTTCCTCCCTGCCTTGAATATGGAGTCCTCCTACTCAGAATGTTCCTTTCTGTTTTTCCCTCCCATCTATCCATCTTTTAGGATCTGCTCAGGTACCCTCTCCTCCAGGCAGCACTACTTGGCATCCACCTCGACCCTCCACTTTGGCAGGCCAGCTTCCTGGCACATCCCTCCTCTATGTCCATGTATCCTGTATAAAACTCTATCACTCCAACCTCATGCTGCACTTAACTGCTGATGTAGGTGTCTACCTTCCCAATTACACAGAATCCTCAGGCCAAAAGGATTACATCTTATTCATCTTTGTCCTAAGTACCCGAGTGCTTGGCACACATTTTCTGACTAAATGAGTAAATAAACTCAGATAAGGACAGGAGGAGAATGAGTGGAGAATATTGGTCTAAAAACTCACCACATTGTACACACTAAGTACATGGGGCTTTTACATGTCAATCACAGCCCAATAACGTGGTTCTTTAGATATGCTGCACAGTGACTGGTAAGTAGTAAATAGCTGACTTCCAGAACATTGACCATGAGACACCTGTGGGACCCACAGTGAGCACAGGCGATCACAGGAGGTCTGGAGTTCAGCAACACACAAGTGACTAGAGATGCAAACCTGGTGGCAGTACAAACCAAGAAGAGAAGAAACCAAAGGACTGAAGTAGCAGTTTAAATGTTAAATGCTTTCTCCCTCAGGTTTCAAACCCAGGAAGACACACTGGATTTAACACACCCTCTTTCCCAGGGGCCATCACATAAATACAACATGTAGATATACAATGTGTTAAGCCAAATTTTCTGCCATTTTCCTACCTAATTCATCTCTTCCAGTCAACTCACCCCCCAAATGCTCTGAGTTATCCTGCTTCTAAAACCTTTGCCATCTTCCTTTCTCCCTCCTCCATAGAGCATCTGCTTGGTCCCTACCATTTTTTTATCACCTTCCTCTGGATGAACAAACTTGCCTCCTTAACTGGACTAGGAAGGACAAGGAGCACAAACTTCTTTTAATAGTCTTCAGAATACCAAACCCAAGCAGCTGCATATTCATGGGTGCTTGGAGAATTCTGATTAACCTTCACTTATCAGCCACACTTTCACTGCCGCCTTCTCCAGAGGAGAAATGCTGGGGTGGAGAGTAAGGGATTCTCAGGCTCAGCACTGCTGACATGTGGGCTGGATAATTCTTTGTGCGGCGCTGTCCTGTCTGCATAGAATGTTAGCATCATCCCTGTGCCTCTGCCCTCTAGAGGACAACAGTACTCTCCTCCATATTCCCCTTCCCCAGCATGAAAACTAATGTCTCCAATTAATAACAAATGTCTCCTGAGAGGCAAAATCACCCCCATTGAGAACCAGTGGATTAGATGGAAGCAGAGCAGACAAAAGTATATAATGTTCATAACCCCCTATCTGTATAATTCTGCTCCTGGTGTGTTTTATTGAATTTCCCAACCTTCATGTAATAACTTAGAGTTACCTTTGTTATCCCCTCTCTATTTCCAATATAATAATTTTATTGGACAATGTCATCTCTTGGGATGTCTACAGTCAGCTGAAAAACTCCCTAACCACCCAATGTTAGTTCTTCTAATCCTATGGAATCTGTGAGGCTGTTTCTAAAGTTTTAATTAGCACTCAGGTTGACAGTATTAGTCCAGAAAGTATACGAGGTATATGGAAAGCAGGCTCATAAGAAAACCAAGCCAGGGGAGTAGAGGAACGTTGAATTTGGGGGACACTTTTCAACCTTTATTAAATGCCTACTCAGTGCCAGACTCTGTGCTAAGTTCAGAATAACAGGAACCTGGGCCTGACTCTACAGAGTTTTCCAAGTGAAGAGCAGACACGCTTGTTGACAAAGAATTACAGCTGCATGTCAAGGCTTCACCAAAGACTTGTGTACGATGTGGCCAGCACAAGGGCTCTGATGGAGACACTTAGGGAAGGTTCAGGAAATGCAGTATGAACTAAGTCGCAGTACCACGGAGAGGACAGTGGGCAACTGCTTTTTAGTTGGCCTGGCACCACTTCTTTGATTACCTGTCACAAAGGGATGGGCATGCAGCCCAAACTCAGTCCATCAGATTTTCTCTTTTGGAAATCTGAATCTTGAGGGGAAACTACAGGGATGAAACGCAGTTAGAATCAAGTCACTTGAGGGCAAAGAGTTGGCCACTGAGTAAATCTTGCCATTGAGACCCTCAGAACTGCCACAGTTTGCTCCTCCAAGGCCTCTGTGGCCTACACCCTAAATTTTTTTTTAATCTAACAATTACTGTGTGCCAGGAATTGTTTTAAGAACTTAACATAGGTTAACTCATTTAATTCTCACAACAACCGAATGTGATTAGAAATAACTCTTATTTCTTATCCCCATTAAGCAGATGAGGAAACTGAGACAGAGATAAGTAACTTGCTGAAAGTTAAGTAGCTAATGAGTGGCGGAGCTGGGATTCACACCGAAGCAAGATGTCTCCAGAGTCTGTGCTTTAAATCACTCATCTGACAAATGACGTGTCACATGTTTCTCATCTTTAATGAAACCTAACTGATCTAGAGAGGAAAGGAAGATGCTCTGGGTGGAAAGCAGGGTATGAAGGAGGCTGGCATGTTTGGGAAATTGCTGCATTTAATAGTAGAAATGCATGGTTGTAGGTAAAAATGAAACGAATAGAAAGCAGTAGTCTGGGACCAAATGAACAGTTAGGTTCTAAACTGAACTGAACTCAGGAGCAGAGGGAATAAGCGGGAGAAGTCCGAAAGGACAACTCGTACTTCATTATATCACAAGCACATCAGAAAGAACAAAGGAATAAGCAAGACAAAGACCAACGAAGATAAAGCGAAATCCTGTGTAACTTTGTAAGTAAGAAATTCTATGCTCTATCTCCTGACATGGAAGACGGCCATGGGAGTATTTAGCTGTAATAATTCACCGACCTTATGATGATTTGTAACCTTTCCTGTAAGTGTGTTATGCGGCAATAAAAAGGTAAGAAAGGATAAGTACACACTCTCGGGCCTGGCAGCTGTGGATGTGGTTCAGGGAGGAGTACACGTGCAGGATGGAGACAACGCTCTTCATGTTCAAGAAGCGAGGTTCATCTACCACTTTCTTCATAAATAAGTCCATCAAACCAGTGTGTCGAAAGGCAAGATTTTCAAATAAAATGAGGAGGAAAAGAACCTGAAAAAAAAAAGAGTGAATTGAGGAAAACTATTTTCATAATTACAGTACGCTGGTAGCAATTTCTTCAGATCTCAAAAAGTTTAAGCAGCAATAGAACTGTCCTGATCGAGAATATTCCCTAAAGAGGAACAATTACCTTTTCCTAATTGTCCAAAGTACCATACAACCTTTGAATGACAAATAGAGGAGCAAACATTGAACAATGTAACTTTTATTTCAGATAGAAAAATAGTCAAAGGATTGAGTGGTACATTAACAGGTAACTCCTAGACAGAAATGATAAGGAGCTAATTTTTCAAAAGTCAATTTAGCATTGAATAATTTGGTATCTTAACTGCTATGAATCTGATAGAGAAATATTCAGAATGCTAAATGAATTAATATGCTTCTTGAATTTGCTTCTGAGGCTTATTCTAACCTATTAACATACTTACTTGTTTCAGCTTCCAGATGTCAAATGTTGTAGCCACATAATCTGCTATTCCCTTGAAAAGATCTAAATTGCGGTATCGGAGGTCTCTGCAAGACTGCAATATGCTGATCAATACTTTAAAAGGACACCCATGGATATTACCTTTAAGAATGAGTTAATAAACAAATAAAAATTACCAATAGACTCTACACTCAATACTTTTTTGCTTCTTCTAAAAAAGTATAGTACTATATTTTGTTAAAACAAACAAACAAAAACTACAGGCAAAAATGAAATTTAGATCTAACCATATCATATTTTTCAAATGTAATAAATAGCAAAGTTCTTAAAACAAACAAAACAAATATGGTTCAGAACAGTAGGTCAGATGCTAAAAATCATGGAAGAAAATGCACTTACCTATGACCACCTTACTGCACTCATTCAGAAGTATAAGAGAACGGTGATCCATAGCAGCTAGCACCTCAAACATGTGCTGGCTATTCAAAACAGAAAATCTGTCTAATTCCCTCAAAGCCTTCATCTAAATAAAAACAAGATTTGATTTATCATTTAGGATAAAATAAACTTTTATTTTCAAATAAAAAGGATAAAGTTTGAGCAAAATGACTCAAATAGAAATATAGTTAAGTATATATATTTAGATATAGATAAATATAAGTCCACTTCTATTATTTCACTTTAACAAAGTTAAACACAAAAGCACAACAATGTCCTCCTAAAAATTGACTGTAGGAAGTGACAACAGATCACAAGAAATATTTTTTTCAAGCCTCATCATCTAAAGAAAATTCAAGTCTTTACCTCCAGTTTCCTTTTCAGAGAAATTGGTGCATCTTTTCCAATACTTCTCATCACGGCTTGTAATGTGAAGACACGCTCTATTTTCCAAATCTGCTGATCGACTAGTATCCTGTAATCAAACACAATAAATATCACAGACCTAGAATCTTAAAACCAGAAAAGAAATCTTAAAAGTCATTTGGTCCAGCTCCTATTTCTAGGCAAGAAATATGAAGCCCATAGACAAGATCTACCTGCCGAATATAGTTTAAGTAGTTACTGGAAGATCCAGGACCATTCTAGCACTATTTCCTCTCACATTATTCAGTTATCTTTAAGAATGAACAAATCACATCAGATTATAGTAAGATATCCCAATGCATATCAATGAAAAAAGGAAATTGACATTATATCAGTTGAATCAATTTTATAAATTATAAAACTCAAGCTCTTTTTCAAGCCAGGCCAGTGTCATGTAATCTCCACATAGTGTCCAAATAACCACTATGAATTGAGTATCTTTCAATTCTCTCCCAGCCCACATCAGTACTGTTTTAAACTTAGATTTCAATGTTGCTCATACCTTTATTATTGTGGATGCTAAAAGCAGCATTATTTCCACCTTTATTTGATTTGGAGTCAGAATTTTAAGTTTAATAAGGTATTAAAGACTTATAACTCCCATCAAAGTTTCCCAAAAACAAACAAAAAGCAGTTCAGCTTTCATCTCGTTTTTTTATTTGAGATATTAAAGAAACAGACTGCCACAGGAAGAAAGCATAAGAGAATTCTCACCGCAATCCTGCTCGAAGAACATCCACATTCTTGCATGGCTCCATTGCTTCTAAAACAGTTGACAAAACTGAAAGACATTTCTCATCACACTCATTGATACGTTCCTATCGAAATATAATTGCAAAAACACTACAGATGATGAGCCCATAGTAGACTACTGCACCCATGCAAAACCACTGACTGATGCTTTCAATTAAAGAGTTAAGTATGAAACCAACAATTCATACAGTGTCAGTGCTCAATAAAGAGCATCTCTGGGAAATAAAATGCCATACAGAGTGAATTTTCTAAATACCCAATACACACTCTTTTATGCATCAAAACTTCTTTACATTGACCATTATCACTGAAAATCCATTGATTATATTCCTCTGCTTCTGAAATAACTTTTATCAAACATTATTTTTACCTCTTCTTAGGACTCAAGGTCATCATGAAGATAACAAATGTGGTAATATAAGAGCTACTGAGGTACAGAGGGCAATCTGACCATCCCTAAAGAACCTCAGACAGCTGTGTCCTTATAATTTCCCTATATTCTTTCCTGGGTATCAAGCTGTAACTTCAGTTGGTAATCCTCCGATCCACATCTGCTGTCACACTTTACCACCATTATCTCAGTCTCAAGAACCCCAGGCCCCAGATTCTTCTTTAAGGTCCTTTGGATTAGGGTACTAATTTAGATCCCAGAACTGGTAGTGGGCATGATTTGGAAAATGAATAGTAACAACACAGCTTACCTAGTGCTCTACAATTTAATCACGAGTCTATACATCTCAGAAGAGCGCATCTGAGGAAATCTGGGCTGAAGGATGCTCTTTTGCTAAAATTATATGACTAACAAAGCACAAAGTCTCAAGTCAGAAATGAGTAAGAAACAGATAAGGGTGGAAGAAAAAAAAGGTCTCATTCTCATAGGAGGGTTTCCATAACCATTTACAACATGTGATCAATATTTACTGTGAAAGGAAAGACCATTTGGCTATGTGTTTGAAAGACAAATTCGTTGAAGACATACTGTCCTTTCATCTCTAGAGAAAGTATCTTTACAAGATTCCAACAGGTCAGTGACACACAATCATACACACAGATGTTCTAATTCCAAATATCCACTGCTCACAGATGAAGATGCTATGCTGATGGGAATACCTGTCCAAAATCTAGCAAGAGCCTCACTGACCAGGTAAAGTGACATACTATAATCACTTTAAAATAACTACATAGGGAACACAGTCTACCAAATAATCATGGATATTCTGTGGTTTAAACCCACACACACAATAAAAATTAGCTCTTGGTTGAGGACAAATGGAAATCACAGTAATGTAAAAATTTTAAATTTAAAGCTCTCATATACCTATAAACCCAATTCTTGAATTCTATAGTAGGAAAGAATGTGTCAAATCATTCTCAGGAAATTCGTGTCTTTTTAAAAATCATTTAATTGTAAAAACTGAGTTTAGAAGTCTGAGATATCCACTCACAAAAGGCAAATGATTACTTTAATAAGCTATCCTTACCTCATCACATCTGGTGATTTCACTGACATCAAACAGAGCACTGACTCCCCTGTTTGAAACAAAAAGTGGTTCCCCCACCTAATTTCACCCTTCTTTAATCCATTCTCCACTCATACAGTGATCTAACATACAAATTTGAGCATCCCAACCCTTTGCTTAAAATACTTCAGTGGATCCTCACTGCCTACAGGATAAATCCAAACTCCTCAGCTAGACATAAAAGGCTCTTTATGATTCCCCCCGTTGTCCAGCCTCATGTCTTGCCACTCCATGTCATGACCACCACACACATAATTTCCTCCCCACGCCCTCAAACACACACCCCAACACTCTGTACTTCAGCCATACTAAACTACTTTCAGATCCCCAAACTTGCCTAACTTTTGCCTGGGGATGAACATGCAATCTCTGCTTGAAAAACCATCCCATTCACTATCAATCTCTCACAAACTGTTGTGCATTCCTCAGATTTGACTTAGACATCATCTCCTACTGGGCTTGAATCCTAGTTCTACAATGGACTAGATGATTGTTCATTCATTCAGGATATATTTATCAAGTACCTATAAATAGTGACATTAACAGATATGTGACCTTAGGCAAGTTTTTAGCCTAAGTCTAAAATTCCTAATCATTGGTAAGATGAGAGTAACAATATCTAATTTTAAAAGGCTACACTGAGGATTACATGAGGCAATTCTGTTTTAGAAAATACCTTTGCCTCAAGCACTAATCCTGTATCCTTCTGCCCATCTCCTCTTCCCTTCATGAAAGCCTTATCCTGACTAGGCTGGAACCCCATTATACATTCTCATAAGACTCTATATTTTTGTTTCATTGCACTGAAAGTTCTCTGTGGCCATTCTTTCACAATTATAGTCCCTTGTGCTCAGTACACTGCCTATAACAGTTAATATATGACTCAAATGAATGTTGGTTATTTTTGTAATTGCCTACAAAATATCCACATTCCCTCCAGATTATAAGGACAGGAATCATGTGTTCTATATCTTCATATCCCTAGAGACAAGTGCAGTAACTGATACATAGTTGACACCCAATAAATATGTACTGAATAAAAGAATCCACTAGCCAACTTGCTTAACATCACTAAGTCTGTTTCCTCATCTGCAAAACTGAGAAACATCAACTTTGCAAAGCTGTTGAGAGGATTAAATAAGATTATATAAGAAAAAGGTGTGGGCACTCACTAAACGTTAGTTCCCTTCCCTTTTCTCCTTCCTTCAACTATCCAAACTTGTTTGTATATTTTCTCTCTCTCCTCATTTTATCTTATTACTCACTACTACTAAACCCCGAAGAAGAAAAATGGGAAAAGCTTTCATAAATGTCCATAGCAAAAGGAAAAGAAGACCTAGCTAATTTAAGGACTCTTAATCATATATATATATGTATAAACAAATAAAAAGGAAACTACCATTCCGCTGATAGTCTCTATTTCCCCTTGTTATTTCAAGATACGCAAACCAAGTAAAAGGATGTTTAAGTCTCCTTTTGGTTTTACCTGAACCACCCTCAGCAAAGTCTGTACCAACAGAGTGTTCTGAGGAATACCAAGCTTCACTATAGCATGAAGACTGAACAGCAGGTGGTCACAGTGCATGATCTTGGCTTCTCTCATCATTTGTTCACACAGCTGGGTAAATGCAGGGTGGTTAAACATCAGTTGTTTTTCAAAGCGCTTCTGGTCATCGGACATCCTTTTGGCAATTGTCCACATTGCTGAGAAATAGTTACTACTAGGAAATTTAGGTGCTTCGGAAAAGGTATCCAACACATCACTCAGGGAATTACACTCCTGAGACAGTTTTTTAAGGCTGACAGGAGTAGGTTTTGTTTCCTTGGTGGGAACATCTTCATTAGAGGCCTCATGATGAAAGTGCATTTTCTTCAGTCCGTTATCTGAGACAGGAAACTCTTTTGAGTCAAGGGACAGTCTTCTAGGACTGAGTAGCCTGTTTACTCTAAGGGTTGTTACAGTGTTTATGCCCTTTGTTTGAGAGTCATCATCTCCTGATTTAAAAATCGAGGCATCCTGAAAGAGATATCTAAAAGATGACTGCATTCTGTTATCAAAGTTTTTTAAGAGAAGGTTTTTTGGGTTCCAGTTTGAATAAACAACTTTTGGTCTGCAAAATCCTGAAGGATACAGCCTCACAGTTCTGCTTGTTGGAGATAAAGTACTAAATGGTCTGAGGCTGCATAAAAAGGAACCTGCTCTGTTATTCATTTTGCTGTCCTCTGAAACACTTCCCGAAGGCTTCAAAGTTGTCAATATGATACAACCATCGCTTCTGGCAGTGAAAGAGAACACGTGCCGTTGTTTTCCTGGGGTTATGAAAGGAATAAAAACTGAAGCAAAATTCACACTTAAACAAACGAAATGCATTTAACAGAGACGAAAGTGGGAAGCTATGGAGACATGGAAGATTTCCACTAACATGGTAAAAACTCTTTTACCGATATGGGCTTCCTCCACTTCTGCCACAGTGTGCACCGACTCAAAGGAGCCAGGGTACTTTGGAAGTAGTCGCATAAATGGGCTTTAAAAAAACGAAGTGGATTTCTGGTGGAAAATGTCCCCCACAAAGCTTCCTCTGCAGAAACGGATTTTATGTTACCATTGCCTTGGAGGTGTCTCCAGAGAAATTTAGGGGTTTAAGGCTGACGGATACTTTTTAACAAGAGGATTTAGCACCGGCCGAACCGGGACTCTTAAGCACAAGGATGTGAACGAAGTAGAAAGGCTCAGGAGAGGAAGCAGCGAACGAAAGTGAGGTGAGCGTGTGGCCTGCGTTGGGGACGGAGAGACAGCCCGCCGGGCTCACCAGGTTTCAGAGCCGGCGTCAGGAGCCCGTCCTTTCGGAACTAGGCCACCCAGTTAACCCACCTCCCTAAGCCGAAGGCCCGGGAAACTCCCGAGGCGGGTCTCTGAGAAGCAGCAAGTCTAATGTGCGGTGCCGCCAGCGGTCCCGGCTGTGCCCGTCCTCCACTCACCTTAGGTGCGAGCCCCGTGGCTCCCTTGAGGCACAGCAGACAGCTTCCCGCGAGCAGCTCGTATCGCGAGATTTGACGGGTCAGCCGTAGGTCCAAAAGTGTTCGTGCGAAGCGATTTGAGAAGGCTTCACTGAGGGAAAAGAAAGCCTATCGAAGACAATGACTACTCTTCTCAGCTGCAAGGATAGGAACGGGGAGAGGAGACCGCCGAGCTTTTAAAGGCGTTGTATGATCGTGTACCCCAACATTTAATCTTTTCGGCTCGGCGCCAGACCCCGCGCTCAGCTTCAGAGTGCGCCTGCGCGGCGTCCTTTGGCGGTGTGGTTGCCAGGAGACCGCGGAGCTGCGGTTCCTGCCGGCGATCACGGCTCCACCATGGCCAAATTCGTGCTTGCGGGTGAGTGATCCCTGCGTGAGCCCGCAGATCACTCAAAATACGGACAGCTGTTCGCCTCCTAAAGCCGTTTGGCAGTCATCTTCTTAACTGGCTTCTGTTCTAGCAAAAAGGTGGGGAACCTGTTTTCTGCTAAGGGCCCTTTGGATATTTAGAACATTATTCGAGGGTTCTACAAAATTATCAACTTAAAAATTAGCCTGGTATATTTGATCAAACATTTAACGCACCCTAATGTGATGGCTGGAATTGCGGTTGCCTTGGCAGGGCCTGAGCAGATGATTTCCCAGGCTGTGATGGCCAGCTAGCCCGGACCTTCCCCAGCCCGTCTGCACGGACCACCTCGGGCTCCTTTATGCAGGCCTTCAAAGATGCTTATTGGGCAGAGCCTCTGTGCAAAGCACTGCCGGACACTGGAGATTCAGTGGGGGAGGGAGGGTGACACATCCGTGCCTTGGAGGAACTTTCAGTCTCAGGGGGTACAGAGCATGTGAACAAGTAATTTTGATACAGTGTGATTGATGCAATGAGGGAGAGGTGCGCAGGGCTCTGGGGGGTGTTACAGGAACTGATTTGTGAAAGTTTGGGATAGGGAAGCCATTCCAGATAAAGGCACAGAGGCTACAAGTCTCATGGCCTAATGGACCATCTGGCTATGGAGGAAGCGACTGGACCTGGGGCTGGAACTGGAGCTGGAACCAGATCCTCAAGTGCACCAAGCAAAGGTGTTTGAACTGTATCTTAAAACTAAGGAGCCATTGAAAAAAGTTAAGCGGGAGAGTATCCTTTAGGATGCCCACCTTCTAAGCAATGGAGGGGAAGGGTTGGAATGACGACTGGCATCTGTTAAAGCACTGAAAAGGCTTTTACTACAGCATGCTATTGTACCTGCCTCCTTCCCTGCTCAGCAAGTTTCTTAAAAGAGTAGACCGCTCTTCTATCTCTAGATCCTCCCTCCACTCAATCTGGCCTCTACATCTGCCTCCTTTCCGAAATGGCCCTCACGAAGGTCACCGATGACGTTAGAGAAGCTGTCCAGTTCCTGTCTTATGTGACCTCTTTGATGCATTAACATAATTGGCACCTCCCATCTCCCTGAAAATCTATTTTCTTTGCTTCTTTATTCATTTAGAATATTTTTGAGCACCGACTGACTGTATGCTGGGAAGACAGTGGTAAACAAACATGCAAAGAATGCTGCACGTGTGGCAACGTCAGGGCAGGCTTCCATAGGAGCCGTGGTAGTCACAGCAGCAGGGGCCCTTATTTAGTCAGGCAGGGAGGCTTCCCAGAGGGCGTGATTTCTAAGCAGAAGCCTGCAAGATGAGAGCGAGTGACCTAGCAGAGAGGAGGTAAGAAGGAAGAGAGTAATTTAGGCCTGGGAAGTAGGAAGCGGGGTTGAAATGAGGAGAGCTAGCTTGCTGATGATTGAGAGTATACAATAAATAGAAAACTGAAATAGACTTAGTGGGATTGGAGCAAAGGGTACAAGGAAAAGAATATCATAGCCTGAGGCCAGAGTTAGGTACTGTAGATTCTTGTGAGCCATGTTCAGTATTTAAAACTTTATGCAAAGTACATGAAAGGCTTTGGGAAGGGGAGAACATAATCACATTTGCATTTTACCTGAGAGTTATCTCTGCAGTGTGGGAAGGGAAACACTGGATGCCAAGAGCCCAGTTAGGGGCTGTAGCCCAGAAGGGAGATAATGGTGTCCTGACCTAGGCTGGTAAGCAACAGAAATGGAAAGATGTGAGTGGATCGTTGAGATGTTAGGAAGGTAGAATCCATAGAACTGGTTGTCTAATTGAGTTGAGGAAGGGAGAAGAAAGTTTAAATAGTTCCCAAGCAGTTGTTTGGATAAATGGCAGGAGGTTGAGGGCTTTCCCAACTGATGCCTTTTTGTACGAATTGGCTTTATTTTTGTAACGTAGAGTGCAAGGTGGTCTATTGTCTTTTGGTGGTCCAGAAAAATGTTGGGGAGAAGGAAGAGTTTTGAAGGAAGTGGACAAAGTCTAGAACAGCAATTGTGGAGAAAACAGAGAATGGAAACAGATCTCCAGGCAGAGTTGAGGGCCAGTTGAGCTGGTGACCATGAAGTTAATGGCACCTCTCTGCTTGGTTCTGCCATGTTTCTCCAGGGGTGCCTAGCATATGGGACCTAGGCACAGAAAAGGCAGGTAATTTGCTTCATCCAGGGTGAAGGCTGTTATTAAGCCAGAGAGTGGTTTAAGTTCATGAACTATGGGTTTCAACAAGCCAGGGAGGCTAACAGACAGGGGGAGGTTGAGAGGGGATGATGACAGAAGTCTCCATGAGGTCGAAGGACTGGTAATTGGGGGTAAATGGGAAAGAATGCTATAGAGAGACTTTTGCATTTGGCCTCTGCCTATCAGACACCCAGTCCCACGCACATTTGGTGGTTTTAATTTCCTGTGTGTTGATGGCTGCAGAATCTACATTAAGCCCTTACTGGGGCTTGTACTTCAGACTTACACATGCAGCTACCTGCGGCTCATATCCACTTAGATGTACTACAGATACCTCCAGCTACACTTGTCTATAATTAAACTTCTCACCTATGACTTCTCTCTTCTAAACTCAGCATCATCTATACAAGCCAGAAAGTAGAAAATGTTCCAGACTCTTGTCTCTCCCTCAGCTTCTCCTCCCCCCCCATACTCCCTGCCACATACATCAAATTCACATGTGATTCTACCATCACTCCTCACTTCACACTTTGCCTTTTCATGGCTACTAATGAATAGTTCATCGTTAGTAGTTCATGTTTAATTAGTAGCATGGAAACCTCTTAGAGGAAGTGAGATCTAACATAGTACTGGAGGAGAGTGAATATTCAATAGTCTTTTTTCCTTTCCACATTTTATTCCTAAAGGTTCTGACCTCCTTTTTACCAATACAATAAAAATCAAAAGTTTATGTGGTGGCAACTTATACTATAACTGTTATAAAATGTAAATATATGATTAATTTTATAATTATACAGCATATACTTATGACTGCTAAAAGAAGGCATTTGCTAAATTGAACTCTTTTAGGTAGAGCAGATTGCCCATATTATGCTAAAGCAGAACTTCTGGCAGACTATTTACAAGAGAATCTTCCTGATTTTCGGATATATAAAATTACACAACATCCTCATGATTGGGAGGTAAGAATCCTTTACAATTTGTTAAACTTACACATGCACAAAAATGTGTTCTAATTTGATTAATATTAGCTAGTATATCAGATAGACTTCCAGTAATGAATGTTCATATACTACTGATATTTTACTACTGATAAAATAAATCTCTACTTATCAATCTCAAAACATTATTTTTTCCTAATAACTGGTGGAACAAATGAGGCCCTAACAAGTAAGTAGAATAAATTTGGCTGGGTTCTCCCCACCCCAAGAATCCAGGGAACTTATATTGCACTTTTTACCTTTTTGTTCACCTTCATATTGATTTCTAATGACATGAGGTGCTTGTTTATTAGATATACCCTTCTTTAGGACTGGGTTTCCACAGAAACAGACTGAGCTGAAGATTTGGGCAAAGGCATTTCCTTTATTCAGGGGGTGCTTTTGGGAACAGCATCCTGGGAAGTAACACAGGCCTCGGCATTGGGCAATGGGAGAAGTCGAACTGCCATCCAGCTACAACAAGGGGCTCGGCCAATCATACAGGGCACTCCGAAGCTGGGTTGGCCCTTCAGAGATACCCTCAAACAGGCAAGGGGGCTGGGCCTTTGTACTCCCTCAGCTAACAGTCACTGGATGCCGCTGGCCTGCCCAGGGAAGGGATTTAACTTAAGCCAAGAGAACTTCTTTCCACTAAGGTCAGTTCTGGGAGGGAAACTCAGCACTGAGCAATTGGCAGCCAATACAGCTGGTAGCTGAGGGATCGAGTGCCTTGGTCAGGAAGGGGAAATCTGGACTCTCATGACAGGATCTGCAACAGTTCACCAGTTGTGTCTTTTGGATCTACATACTCTATGAAATAAGTTCACACCATCTGGGAACAGCTCTTCCAGGATTCTGGTTGGCCTCTCTCCCTAGGGAAACTTTACAAGTGGGTCCCTTAGTTTGAAGTGATGTTATGCAGGATCCCATGTTGATAGGTTAAATATTGTATAAGCTCTTAATCAAGGTGCTGGGCAAAGCCCTACAAGCAGGAAAGATATTTTTTTACCCAGAATATATGTTGATTCAAATCAAGATGAATCACTGTCCTGTACAGGTTGGAAGGGGTCCAATTATAATCAACTTGCCACCAAGGGGCTGGTTGGTGTCTTTGAGGGATAATGCCATTCTAAGAGAGTCAGCATTGGTCTCTGTTGCCCCACATTGGACATTTAGTAGCAGCAGTAGCTACATCAGCTTTGGTGAGTGGCAGCTTGACCTCTAGGGTCACTGCATAACCTCTATCTCTTCATGAGCTCATGTGCCTTCAGCTGTCTAAGTTATCTTCCTTTTGAGTTGTTTAGTGCTTCTTTTACAATAGATATTCTCTGGTGGGCACTGCCCCCTGGCCTCTTATTTCAAGATTCTATCATCCCAATGGCCTAGAGTCTAGCTCTATAACAGCATGTCCTTTAACAGACCTGGCCTAGAATGGACAGCCATACAGGGCTTCTCAGCAATACTGAGACCCCTTTCACCAGTGCATTTCTTGTCCCTTTGTGAATGTAGTGTCCCAAAGCCCTTCTGGAGTTCATAATTGACTAGCAGGTTTCTAGCATTCTATTACAGTATATCCACTCCTGCATGACCATTTTTCTAAGCTTTTTGATGCCTTCCATTGTCTCCCAAGGCAGTTCTGGCATTTCTATTTCATTTCATGTGAGCTATCCCCTTCTCCAAGCTTAGGAGAACCATCCTAGCAACATGCTACCACTCTCAGCCGAGGTCTTTGCCAAGGTGTACACTCTTGAATTGCAGAAGAGTGATTCATATTGATTCATTCTCCCTTGTCCAACTTTATGTACCACTCTTGATTCAACACCCTCAGGGGCCAGTCCTATACATACTCTCTCAGCTCTTGCCAGGATATCAACATGCCCTTGATGCTGAAGGTCCTTTAGGGTAGAATCCCTTTCTTCCATAGACTCAGCACTTCACTGGTCAGTCTGTGTTGTGAATAGAAGGACCATGGTGGAATCTTCACAGCAGCACTGTTTGCTTTAAGATGAGATAAAGGCAGAGAGATTTCAACATCAGGAGGGAAATTTGTTTCTAAGATTTTATTTATAGGGTAGCGTCACTACACATGCCTCCAAAGACAAGAATACTATCATGTGCTTTATCCATAAGAACGTTGCTGTCTATCTCTGCTCAGCTCTTGTCATTGGAAGACCTGATCTGCACAAATCAGATAATGATTTAAGATTTTTCTAGTAAATATTAGAAATCCCTAGGTAACTTTTAGCTCATTAATTTAATCTGAACAATATAAACTATACTCACAGATTTGGAAAGCAATATCAAATTTATACGGTCCAAAGACTGGAAATATCTCACATAGAAGAGCAAGGGAAAAATCAGTTGAAATTTTTTTGAAGCCATTTGAGTTGGAACACTTGACTTCTCTTTAACATAAACACTCCAGGTCTCCTCAGCAAACAGAGCAACTTTCTGTACCTTTATTTGGTCAGCAAATTTGAAGAATATTCTTATTTGATTAATTTGTTACTTAACTCATCACTATTTTCTGTGTTTACATTTTACAGCTTAAGATATCTAAATTTTATGTATATACATTAGTAAAACACGACAAGCTAGTATTTTAGTGTTTGAATTCTAACATATTGAATTCTGAGGCGGAGTTAATGTGCGCCTTCTCTTGAAATATCATTCAATAGGAGTGGCTGAAAGATTTGTGTGAAAAGAATAAGTGGAGCCACAAAAATTCCCCTATCATCTGGAGGGAGCTGTTGGATCGTGGCGGAAAGGGAATGCTTTTGGGAGGGTATAATGATTTTCTGGAACACGCCCAGGTATATAAACTAAGTTGATTTATCTATTCAAAACATTATCATTCTCTCGCACTGTTTTATTTTTTCAATGCCTTGCTTTCTAAAGTATTCTCTCAATTCTCTTTTTACTCCATTCTGGCTTTAAAAAGGACTTTCCATTACAGCCATTAGCAGCTAATTATCTTCTCTCTGGTGTTGGCTTTTTCTTTTGCGATGTTTAGCTTTACTATGGTGTCACTTCTAGCATGAGGACTGACTTGATGAAGGCAATTGCTCAAGAGAACATGGGGACACACATAGAAAATGAGCTGAAGAAAGAAGCCCTGAAAGACCTCATCGACCCCTTGCAGGTCTGGATCACCAGGTGGGACAAGTCAAAGCCCAGGATTCGTGAGACTGGATTTTTATATTCAGAGGGGAGGATGATGTGGGGTTAATTCCATGACAGAAGCATATACACGGTGTCAAGTTTGAGAATTGTGTACATATGTATGTATACATGTGCATGTGTCCCCCAGTATAGCCCATGTATGATTTTTAGGTCATACATAGATTTAATGTGTGTATACGTCTGGCTGCCTGGTGTCCTCTCCTTTCCCACCTGCCAAGCTGCCTTCCCTCCTCCTCTGGCACTTTCTCTGTATCCCGGCCCCTCGCTGCTGCGCCCTTTCCTTTTCTCCTCGCCTTTGCTCCTTCTAGTCTTTGTCGTTGCTTGTTGCCTCTTTGTATTCCTGCCCCCTGTCTCTCTCGTCGTCTCCCTTGCTGTCCATCTTGCTCTGTCTCTCCCTCCCCCTTTCCTTCCTGACCCCTCAATCTCCGTCTCACACTGCCCTTCTAAGTGCACGCGGCCTAACGGAGATGCTCATTTAAAACAATCATGTTATTATGGAATATTTCAGATTCAGGGAAGAACTGAGAACAATGTAATGAACTTACATGAACCTGACACCCAGGTTGCATAAATATTACATCTGCTTTAGGTGTGTGTTTTTTAAGGATTAAAATGGTACAGCTACTGTTGAAACCCCCCACTGTACCCCTCCCCAAACCCACTGTGAAAACTGAAAACACCCAGATGCATTTCCAAACTCCCTTCAAGAGCCATTACAGCTCTCCGTTGATAGCAAACCACATAAAGAGGACCCAAGCACTCACTGAATCATGGCTACAGTTACTGATACCTAGACTGTGTCAATCCTAGGCTTGTTTGAGAGGATTTAGAAAAGATTAGTCCTTTCCAAAAACTGTCATTGCTTTGTAGATAAGGGTATAAAATACAAATGAGCTATGGTTAAAAGAAACTTATTTTTCTTTATCTTTTTAACAGCAAATGTAAACATGTAATTAGAGTAATATGACATTTCTCTGAAATTTTGCTTTCTGCATGTTCTATTTTAATCTGAAAAGCCTTATAAACAGGTACATTTCTTATGTGGGGATTGTTTTCAAATGGCAAGAACAAGGGGTTGGTAGTGAGAATTTTTTGTTCTACTTCTGAGTTTTAGCCTTTGAAATTAAGTGTTCTCATCAAGGAAAAAAAAAGGGTGGGGGCTGAAGGAAGGGAAACTACATGAGGTGAGGAACATGCTGATTAACTTGATAGGGGGAATCCTTTCACAATATATACATATACAAAATTATGCATTTTTAAGTATCTTACAATTTTAGTTGTCAGTTATACCTAAATAAAGATAAAATTTTAAAAGCAGCAGCAGAGTGTGCAAAGTATGGGAAAATGTTACATAGCTGTGTATGCCTATTTCGAATATGGAATCGCCCCGTTAATGCGCGCGGCGGTGTCTGGAGAGTAAAGGCCTAGGAGGGGGAAGAGTTGACCTCGCTAACGCCGCGTTGCCCGCAGCGCGTCCGCCCCGGCCTGCTGCAGCCTCATTCCGCTCCTGACCAGCGGCGAGGTGTTCGGGAGGCGCACGGAAATCAGCCTGAGTCTATTCGACAGCAAGGAGGCCGAAGAAACCCTCCGATCCCTCGCCACCGAGACGCTGAACCTGGTGTCGCCCGTCCTGCGCGGCGTGTCCGTCTGCACGCGCGTGGAGGAGGCCTTCTGCCAGGCGCGCGTGGTGGTGGTGCTGGACGACCCCACGGACGAGGAGGTGTACTCGCTGGAGGACTGCCTGCGCAGCAGGGTGCCCCTGTGCCGGCTCTACGGCTACCTGCTGGAGCGCAACGCGCACCCCTGCGTCAGGGTCGTCGTGGGCGGCAAGACCTTCGTCAACCTGAAGGCGGCGCTGCTGGCGAGATACGCCCCGGCCGTGGCGCGCAACATCGTGGCCGTGGCGCTGGGGGTGGAAGGGCAGGCCAAAGCCGTGCTGGCCAGGAAGCTGAGGACCACCTCCTCGTGTGAGTGCGCCCCGTTTCTGCTTTTGTTTCTAAGCGCCCAGATTTCCAGGCGGCTGGGAGGAACCCTGTGGCCTCTAGGGTCCTTCTGGAACCTGGAGTAGGGAGTGCGAAGCGCATGCAAAGAGCTGCTTCTTGTGGGATGTGACGACTGTGCACACATGTTTTTTAACTGGCTTTCATGACTACCTGACTCGGTCCACCATTATATAATAAGGTTTATACTCTATACAAGTAATCATTTGAAGCCGAATACTCCATTTTTGCCCATGGTGATAGTTAACTAAGGTAATCAGTGTTTTTAAAAAAATAATATTTAAAAAATCTGCAATGAAGCCCTATGTTAAAGTGGCTCCACCCCACTTCTTAATTGTGTGACTTTGGGCAATTACTTAACCTGGCTATGGCTCGGTTTCCTCACCTGCAAAATAAGCGTTATGGGCACCTAGAATTGATGTGAGGATTCATTTGATGCGAGAGAATACTTGTAAGTGTGTAGAAGAGCACCCGGCACATGGTAAACGTTTGCAGGGGCATTAAACTTGTCAGTGGGATTATGATTCCCGATCAGTTTCTGCTCCTATTAATCTTTAAACTAGTAGATGTCAAAATCATATGAGCACGAGACTGGATCAGAGAATAGACTGTTGTATTTAGAAGGGGATTGATGCATTTAAAAATATGTATCATACCTAAAAAATCCTAGCTGTTTGTGCCCTTAGATGGAGCAGGTACAACAGAGTCCATTGAGAATCCAAGGCAGTGCAGGGCATTCCCTCAGGCAATTGGGAAGATAATGAAATATGAGCTTAGAATGCTCTGAATGGGGCTATAAAGGACCTCAGTGAGCCCCTAACGCATTATAGCAAGAGCCATATTATCCATTTCTTCACAGTGAAGCCCTAGGACCATAACTCCTGGTATTCTTGAGTACAGATCTTTAGTGTCTTACTCCCAGGGTCAGTGCATACCTATGCCAAATTGATACTAAAATTATTCAGCAGGAAAGCAAGACATTTTCTAATCATTTTATCTCTGTTGTCAACCAACCTTATATGTATATGTGTAGATACTGATTGTCACAAAAGATCTATGATGTGCTGATGAAAGTGTCAACAAGAGGCAGTGCTACAAAATTAAAAACGAGGTGCGAGGTGGCAGGGGCTTGCAACCAGAAAGCTGCTCTCTATGGGTCTGCTAGTGCCATAAATTCTAAGCCCTGCTATACTCAAAGTCAAACATATGAGAAGCAGAAAAAAGGAGAAAAGTTGGGAAAAGGAAAGAGACATTAGAGGGACAGTAGTCAGCGTAGAATTGTCAGAGGAGTAGCAGGGAGAAGCTCAGCAACAGCAACGACAGTTGAACATGATGGCATGAACTACAAAGGCCATCAGGGAGAATCATTCAGGGCAAATTCCAGGTGCCAAGTGGGTAGCAAACCTTTTCAGGGTACCTCCTGAGTTCAGTTCACACATAGCACTGTCTTGTTCATAGCTTAGCTACCCCCTTAGAAAGAGAACTCTCTCTCCTCTCTCTCTCTCCCTCTCTCTCTCTCTCTCTCTCTCCCTCTCTCCCTCTCCCTCTCTCTCTCTCTCTCTCTCGATTCTTTGAAATAGCAGGAAATACCTCATTGGCCAGGCCTGGACCATGTGCCTATCTTTGAGATCAGTCATGACCAAGAATATGGAATTTTGGTTTCATGCCTATTGATAGACCTAAGTGGTGAGGATAGCCCCACTCCAACCATATGGACTGAAATCGGGAAGCNAGATATCTCTCTCTCTCTCTCTCTCTCTCTCTCTCTCTCTCTCTCTCTCTCTCTCTCTCTCTCGATTCTTTGAAATAGCAGGAAATACCTCATTGGCCAGGCCTGGACCATGTGCCTATCTTTGAGATCAGTCATGACCAAGAATATGGAATTTTGGTTTCATGCCTATTGATAGACCTAAGTGGTGAGGATAGCCCCACTCCAACCATATGGACTGAAATCGGGAAGCAGTGGTTATTTAAAGAAAAACCATGATGCTGTTAAAGAAAAAATGTAGGAAGAGATGCTGGGAGGGGAAAAAGCAGATGTCCACTATAATTTTCTCTAGTATTATTTAGGGCATTAGAGCTGTTAAGGTCCTTAAAGCTGATAATACCCAGTGAGATTAGAAGACTTTTTTAGACTTTAGGAAGAAAGCCTACCATATGCTTACTTGGGGCTGGAGAATTCTTTTCCCCATCTGGGAACCCCATGGCCTCCTACCAGACTACCACCTTCCCTTCCCTTCCCTTCCCTTCCCT